TAGCTAAACCAGTTTGCAGATCAGAATTTTAAAGTCCTTCATGAACCACAATGTGCCACTTTCTGTGTTTTTCTCTTCCCCATTTCTTCCTTAGGATAGAATTGTCTTGCTAGTTCTGATTTATTTTTCACAGCACAAGCTAAGCTTGTTAAGTCTTAGGCAATTACAATGAAATGTTTGAGCGTATGTCAGCCTCCCAGAAAGTTGTACTGTGTAATCCAGCACTTTGCTATTCTGACAAGCTGAAGAAATGTTTCCAGTAGAGGAATCAATCAGAGGAAAGAAGTCATCATCTATGTAGAGAGGAAGGGGGGAGGAAAAAAAAGTTCTAAAATATTGTCCTCTATGAGTTAGACTTAATTCTATTTACTACAGAGTGAACTTTGGCTGCCTCTAGAAAGCCATAACCTGGAATAGCCTATGACCTTGCAAAACAGCGTTCCAGGTTGTTTGTTGTGGCTGCCTTCTGACGCAGGGAAAGATCAGCTGAGGAAGTGACTTCCTTTGAACTTTTGATACCAGATTCTGTTGCTACTGCTGAATCTTGGCAGGGTTTAGTTCGTGTTCTCCTCCAAGAGTTCCTCTTCCAAGAAACTTCCAAGTTTTCCTCTTAGAAAAACTGTCAGACGTCTCTTGTTGCGAAGGAAATAGTTTAAGCTTACTTGTTACAACAAATTATCACTCGCTAAAGAGAAAAATAGGATGTTATCCTCTTCTCTTTATAAGCATTTCTTTGGATTGTGACTTTTTCACAGTGATTCCCGAAGTTTTCTTCTGAGTAATAGTTCCTACTTCTGAGCCCTTTGCTGAGTACGTATGAGTAAATATGGAAAGAAGGGGATTATTTTAAAGACAGTAGGATAACTATGGCTAGATTAAGATTTTTTTTATTATTTGAAAACAACATCAGCATCAACTCCTGTGCAGAACAGATTGTTTGCCATCAGTGAAAATTGAAAGATCTTTCCAGTGAGGAAAATCTTTAGATTTCTCCTACTTCTGGGTTTTTTGTCATTTTTTGTTCTGATGTTTTTAATTTAAAGCTATATTCTGAATCCTGTGTAAACTTAGTATTTCAGAAGAATCAGCAATTAAAATTGCTCATCTTCTAATGGTCTGCAGACGTGTTTGGTATGTTACAAAGATGGTCTTGTTGAAATTGGTGCATGGAAAGGGTTCTCTGACTCTTAGTCGACAGGGTTGTTCTTTCTCTCTTAGCAAATGGCATTTTGCTTTTTTGCCTTCCAGCATGCACATCTTGGTTATATTCATGGCCGTACAAGACTTGAAATAGAGCCTGCCATTTGTGTGTCTCATGAATCATGCATTCATCTGCATGTGTGATACATTATTAATGTTTAATCTGAGGATTTAAGTGTTGTTGCTGAAAACCATTCTTCTGAGCCTATTTTAATATTACCGTGGCAGGAAAAAAAGACAATCTTTACTTATGCTTGTGTTTCCTATGCATGATTTAGATGAAGAAACATTTTGTTTATACATATGAAAGCATAAATACTAGGGTGCAGATAGAGAAAGAAAATTTAAAGAGGAAAATGTACAATAGGTTGTACATTTGGTTGTACAATAGGTTGATTTTAGCTTTATTCCACCAGTATGAGCCACTTCCCTTTGGTTAAATCTCATGCACTCAGACCACAAAGTGCACTTTTTTTCCTGTGTTTATCGTAAGGAAAGCCAACCTTAGAAGGAGAAAAAAAGCTGAGATTTTAGGAAGCTTCAATAGAGAACATTGTTACAGTGTACTGAACTGTAATAGTGTCCAGTGAATTTAGCTAGACAATTGATAAGAGCAGAAGTATAGGAAAAGAAATGCCAGAATCTACAGAATGCTTATGGGTTTCCTAAGAAATGTTATGTAACTCTGATCTTAAGGTCTGATAACGAGCCTAAAACAAACAGGAACTACTTTGTTTCATTAAGTCATGCATGGGCAATTACAGTTTTTGTAAGCTGGTTCTAGGTTCAGTTAAATTATCATTCAGTGCATCTTTGTTTCTGCCTTTGTCTCAATGATTATAAGATTGAAAGAAAAAAAGGATTGCTGTTGTGATCTAAGAATCATATGTGATTGGGAATATTTAGAAAGGAAATATGTCTGAATTAAAATCAGTAGTGTGGTCAAATTTGGTATGATGCTAAGCTGCTTCTGTAATTGGTTGTAAATAATTGCAGCAAGAATTTGTTGAGATGGTTTGTTAAATTTTCAGGCAGAGGTTTGTGTTTTGTGAACTGATAAAGCAAGAAATTCTACTGAACAATACAATCAAGTTGAGACTTGATCACTGGCTAATAGCACTAAAAGTGGGATGGTGGTGTAGGGAAGATATTGTAGACCCTGGTGGTGTAGTCACTAATCAGACTGTTGGAGCCACTGATGCAAAACAATTACTGTGGGAGGTAAAGAACTAGGAAGTTTTGGTTTTGGCTTTATAAATGCTTCTGAAGTGTTGAAGGGGCAGAGCTCTTCTGAACAGAAGTGAAGTTTGAAGCTTCTGGTCTTTGCTGCCTGAATTATTCTCAGTGCACCCCAGTCTTGTCTGTTTGTCCTGTTTCTGATTCTGACCAGTATTTGAAGGATTTCTAACACATCAATGTGTTTGAATAAGTGTTTGACATGTCTGCGTATGTTGGATTCTTATATAGGGGAACTGGTGGTGAATTTCTAGGGGAAAAAAGTTCTAGTTGGCATAGAAAACCTGCTACCTGGGTTATTAAGCTGAAAAGATGCTGGCAGACTGTTTCCAGCTACATCAGCATAACTGAGGTTCTCTCCCCAGCTCCATTTAAATGTTTTTATTCTACAACTGCTTCCTGAGCAAGAGAGCATCTTATGTTTGTGTATAGAAATACCCTCTGAACAAATGAACTGTTGCTTTCTCGTACTGTAATTAAAATCTCAATCATACGCAGAAATAAAAATTCAATTTAGATGAAGCTACTGTATTTAAGCGGGGTTGTTTAATTCTCAAATTCATTCATGAGAAAGAAATGCTTGCCTTTGTTTCTTGATATACTTTCAGTTATTTGCTGGATGCTGTAGTTGCTGACCTGCATCAAAATACTGAACTGATTCTCAAGTCTTATTCCCTTGACTTATTATTTATGCTGACTGTGGATTTTAGGCTGAGTAGGAATTGAATCTTTATATCTGCTTGTTACTTTTAATAAGAGGTTGAATTTCAGATTAGAATGATCTGTTTGAAGTGCTGTAATGATTTCATCTCTACCTCAAAGTTCACTAGTGCTACATGTTAGCCTTAAAATTTTGATCCATACATCCCATCATTCAGCTGGTTTTGTTTGCTTTGTGTGTATTTAATAGCATGTCTTGTTTGCAGCTACTTCTGTTGTGCTCGTTTTTCTTACATAGTGACAAAGGAAGAACAAGTGTTATTAGCAACAGGAGACTAGCTGCAAATGTGAGTGGTCATGGAAATTATGTCAGTTCTAGTGCTTGTAACAGATGAAGTTGGTAATCTCTGAAATCTAATGCAGCTCCAGCTTTCTTGAAAATTCAAGCTTTCTGAACCCTCTGATTCAGTGCAGGCTTTTCTGAAATGATGCAAACCCAATCTAATGGATAAAAAGCAGTTATAAATGTTTAAGCTACTCAATATTGTCAATTCCTGTGAAGCTGAGGCTTGCTTATCTGTTGGTTTCCCTGTTAGAGCTATTAAGATGCTAGTGAGACAGACTTGTTTGATAAGTGTTGTTTAGGTCAAACTCTCTTTAAAACATAATATTTTGTTCTTTGGGTTGTTTTTTCCTTAACTCCATAGAAGTTTTTCTCTGGTTACAGATTTGTATCAGTTTCTTCCTTGTCAGCCATCTTTTGGGAGGGAAAGTTTGCTTAAATACTTGATGGTATAAAAACCATAAAAGCAGACTGTATACAATGTTAACTATTTTGTATTTGCGTGTGTTTCATACTTGCACTCAGAACCATTTAAACTGTGTCTATGCTGTACTTAATTTCATCAAAATAATGAGAAGTTAGCTAAAGATGGTATGAATCATAAAGACAGACTTTTAGTGCCTTGGTATCCAAGATACGTCAGCATGCTGATAAGTTACTTGTTTTCCTGCTGTGAGAACTGGTTGCTGTGTTTGATTCTTTAGCTGAATACAAACTAAATTAAATCTGCAGTGACCTGTATTGTACTCTAGCTAATGACCCAGTTAACCTCTGGTTAATTTTTTGTCTCTTGGTGTCCTGGGAACAGCGACATGTTTACTTCAGTTGCCACAAACCTTTAGAAATGTGCCACTGGCGTTTATTATTCTAGTGCTGTGTGTTTTAATAGAAATTAGCTAATGGGCCATGGGGGTCTGTAGAAGTTGTAGAATGCCAATGAGGAGTTTCCTTTCGTTTTTCCTCCTCCCTGATTTACATGACTAAGCTTTTAGCTTTTCTTGGTTTTGTTTTTGTTTCTTGAGTATTGATCTGTCTCCTGTGGAGGAAACAAACTGCCTAATGTGCAGGATGTCATTGTGCTTGGCAGCTTCCCAGAGACTCTCCTCTTTTGTTTGCTTAAAATTGAACTAGAACAGATATTGACAGGAAATTTTATAACTAAGGACACTTCTAATTGCATAGCAACATTATGCAAATAAATATGAATATAGGCTTAAAATAATAAGATAATGTTTAAGAGTGAATTTGAATAACTCTAGTGGAAGTGCAGTTCTACAACTGGATGGACTGTTCCATGATGTGTACCTTGTTTTTCAGGAAGCTAAATTATATGGGTACAAAATCTGTCAGAGCAAGGCAGAATGACTGTCTGCACCCATTCACAGTAATGGTCATTATGGTCACCTCTGGAGCATTTGTCATTGTCTGGGAACTGCTGAATCACGGCCTGAACCTCTGATCGATCACTGAGGTGAGCAATGACTCAGCCATGGGAGCACAGGTGAAGGTAATTCATCTGTGCTGCTGGAAGGGCTGGAGCCTGGCTGCACCTCCTGGACCCATTTAAGAGCTGACTGCTGTGGGGAAGGATCTCTTCTGGAGATCCGCTCTGCTGGAGTTTCATAAGCGAGCGCAGGATACAGGTAAGCATGCTATCTTTTCTGCTTTGGTGTAATAACTGCGTAGCCAAGCTCTCTGGTACATCTCATAACTATAACATCTGTACATTCATTGATTGTACAGTCATAACCTGTTTTTAAGCATAGTGACGTTCTTATTTTCCCTCTCCAAGGGAAGATAGCTATGTTGGTTTAGAAGACCTACAGTGAGAGTGGAACAGGCCAGAATGCAAACTGTGAAATCTGAAGCAGTCTTAGTTATTTAGTGGGGTCATATGTCTTCAGGGGCTGTAAGCAGCCAAGAGTAGGTGAAGAGCCAAGCGGGCAGCTATGTCTGCTGCTTCACAGCAGTGTGACCCTTCTCTGATCTGGAAGTGAGATTCTCTGATCTCGTGTGAGATTCATTTCAGCATAGTAAGATAACTTAGTTTTATGTCATGGATGGGAGGGGGGACGGGACTCACAGGTGTGTGGTTACAGCCTCATTAGGTTGATTTTAATTGAGAGTGTGATACCACTGCTGTACCATCGCTGTGTATTTACAATACAGATTACTGAAGAGGGTATTTATCCCAAGTTTTTTCCTTCGACCAGTTCATCTGTTCCTGTTGAGAATTCTTGGCTTTTTCTGAGTAAATTCCTACTGTTATGCTTTTCCCTGTTTGCCAGCCATTTTTCCACTGTTACCTGGGCACCATAGGTTTGCATTTCTGGGTGGTCCTTGGAGAACAAAGTTACTTGCAGTGGTGGTTGGTCTATTAATCTCTGAAGTGTGTTCAGCGTTACCTAAATATGCAATGAATGGTTCACTGCCATGTTGGAGTTTGCGTAGGGGTGCTACATAGTGGTGAATGGAGTTGGAAGAGTCTTTGTGTCACCAATACCTCTTGCCCAGTTAATGACTGTTCAGCCTATGGCCAGTTTTCTCCAGATGTGGAAGAATTGTGGACTTGCTCTTAAAATTGGTTTCTAGAGACTGGGTGGATTCAAACATTGTTAGCACAACAAAGACTTGAAAGTTTGAATGTTTGCTTGTGGTTTTGTTGGCTTTGTTCTATTTCACTTTTTTAATAGCAAACCTGATATTGGTTTAGCCCAGACCTGAACAGACTTGTGAGGCACCAGGAGATTGTAATTAAAGATTTTTCAGTGCATCATTATTCTAATAGTTCTAACTGGAAGACTTTTTTTTCCACGACTGAACTTCTTCAGTCAGAAATCAGGGATGTTCTCAAACAGCAGTCAGTTTGTGCATGTTTAGTTATGATTAAGCTACAGCTGAAAAATGATAATATTAGTATTAGTGCTCTTTAGGAAGCAAGAATACAAGTAAGTTCAGATCATTTTGTGGACAGAAGAGCAGTTAGTAACTGTGAATCATGATATGATGTAATTCTGGATAAGGAGATTTCCAATTACAGGCTGCAAGAGGATGGGAGGATATGCTAGGGGAAAACTCGCATACCCATTCCTATTCTCTTTTTTTGCTGTATGCAAAAAATACAATAAAATAAAGGTGGTACTCCAAGAATAATGGGATAGGTGAATCCTTTATCTTCTGTAGAAATCTCCCTATGTAGCCATTATCTGAATAGACTGTTTTGTCCTTTTTCTCCAGGTAACTTACCATATAGTCTGTGTCGGAGATTTGTTAAGTAATGCATAGTCCAGAATGACTTGAACTCTTTTCTGATGTGTAAATATCCACTGCTTACAGAGCGAGGCCTTGAGAAACAGCCACTGTAGTGCCGATTTCTTCTGCTCTGCTTATTCTCAGAAGTTTTTACCACAGATTTCCCTTGGGAATGGATTATTTCTTCATGCTAGTTTTGCTGATAGTGGCAACAACAGGTAGAAACAGCTTGCAGTTGTAGTATAGCTGCTTTGCAGTGCCTTATGTTGTAGTATAGCTGCTTTGCAGAGAACAGATGGGTTCTACAGCAATCATGAGTCCTCTGTCAGCCTCGTAAACAGATGGGTTTGGTAGGGGGTGGAAGCTTAAGCTGTTTTGCCTAGATATAGACACTTTTTCAGAGACTTGCTTGTTTTCTTTTGGGACTTTTTATGACCTAAGAATTACTGCTTGATGCTTATATGTTAAAAATACACAGTGCTGAGAGGGGGAAAAGATTATTTTGCAAACAGATTCTTGGGAAATTGCTCTGTTCACCCAGGTGGTTTAGAGCACCACACAAAATAAACTGGCTGTGCTGCATGCGTACTTGGGGTATGTTCTGCTATGTTGTAGACAAGCTGCCTCCACCAGCTTGGTAAAACTAGCTTTCAGCCCTTAACTGTCCTCATTTCCTTGTTACCTGTTTGGTTGTGGTTTTTTTTGTTTTCTTTTTAGAAGCAGTTAAAAGACATTCCTGAGACAGGACTCAGATTTTTCACTTGCTCTGAAACCACTGAATCCAAACAGGACTTCACTTCTGTTCTACCTGTGGTTAAACCACTTTCTTCCTCTCTTCTGAGAGCCTGAAGAAAATGGCCTTTGTTTTCTCCTGGGTTTCTGTGTGTGGCAGAAGAAAAAGCAAAATATCAGCCTCTGTCTTGCTTTGCATTTCTTGAAAATTCTTCATAAACAAAAGGAATTTTACGAGATGTTAAATCCCTCTGCTTTACCAGCTGAAGCATCATGAAAATGAATCCTTTTCCTATCAGTCATTGGAAAGTACAGAGCATTCTGTGTGTGCGAAGGGAGCTACAGTGCTCCTCAGCTTAGTCCCTAGTCTTTTCTGTTTATGAGCTTATTCTGTCAGGGTCTGTTAGTTTTGGTATTGTTAGAGTTTTAACAGGATTTCAGACTTGCTGGTGGTCTCCATGGGTCCTTTTCCCATTTCACCTCTGAGTATTCCTACTGCTAGAGGAAAAAAGCAACTGTGACTGAGAAGATTGGAATTACACACAGTGTAATTCCCTTATTCATAAATTTATAAGGGAATTGCTTCTCCTGGTTGGTGGTTGAGGAGCCAAATCGCAAGCTTTTGTTAACGCGGGGAATATACTTTTCAGATACTTTAAATCCTTATCTCAGTGATACTTCTTGGTCTTTTTTTCAGTGTTTAAAAAGAAATCAATGAGAGAATAAAGCCTTGTGTAGATGTATGTTATGTTTCAATTAATTTGTCTAAATCTGTAGTTAGTGTTATTTATTCACTATAAGGAGGAGAATTTATTCAGATTGAAGGCCTAGCCTGAGTTCCTTCCAAAGCAAGTAAGAAAACAGAGTATGTTGTATTGTGCTCTAAACAGGGCTGTCATGTGGTATGTGCCTGGATTTAGTTCTGGAGTAAAACATTGTTTTGCCCTCTTGTTGAAGGGGCAATCTAACATGATGTATTCAACTATCACAAGTAGTTTTTGAATGCTTTACAGTGCAGCGCAACTTAGCACCATCAGCTTTCTAAGCAGATGAGGAAGGTGAAGGGAAAAGTCTTTCAGAAGTGCAGTTCACTGAATATGACTATTTTTTATTGCACACTATTTGCGAATGGGGGCAAGAAGATTTTTAAATCAAATAACACAAGATGCTTCATGTAATAATGATCGTTGTAATAATTCCTTTTAAAGTGCTTGTCTCTATAGAAAAGAAGTTATCTTCTGTATAGTTCCTTATTTCAAGACTTTTTAGAGCTTATTCTTTTGGGTCTGATTACCTTTGACACCAACAATAAACTTAGTTGAGACCATCTACAGTATGACCACTTATCAAGAATTTAGGTAATACTTCTGTCACAAAGGACTGAAAGCACTTTGCATGAGTGTTCTGTAGTTAAGTGTGATATAAGGAAGCTTATCTTAAATATTGTACCTGGAAAATCATTCTTTTGAAGTATAAACACTGCAGTAGGAAAAAGAGGGGAAAAAAGAACAATACATTACTTTGAGACAAATGTGTAAAAACAGAATTGGGTTTTGATCTTGCAGGCATGACATGTGTTCTGTTCAGGGCACTCATGCATTTGCTTGTTTAGCCCAATGGAAATAATTTCAAAAATATTATTCCCAAAAGTTGAAATGTAAATTCGCTATTATATATTATATATTATATATTATATATTATATATTATATATTATATATATTATAATATATATAATAAATATTATATGTATAATATTTATAATTATATATATAATATTATAATATAATTATATTATATATATATATAATTATATATATAATGATATAATATATATTATATATTCCTTTCTTGGAGAAAGGAATTGCAGATTGTGACTGTGAGTTGTTCATGGATATTTAATCCTTCCTACAAGAGTTAAATACATACTCATACATATTGCAATCTATCCTATTACACTTTTCTTTTTTAACAACATATCTAAAAACTCAAACAAAATGCTGGAGCTTTTAACCCTTACATATTTTTCGGTTGTCTCTTGCTGCTCTGTAAGTATTATGAGCCTAACAACAGCTGATTTGCCAAGCAGTTCTCAACACAAGAGTGCGCGATGCAAGCTGTTTCCACAGAGCCGTGCTGCTTCTGGGCAGAAGGTAACAGCACACTGTGCCCTCTCCAGGTGGATCTGGTGCCCAAGGTAACACTGATTAAGAAAATTTACCTCAAACTACATTGTGTGTTTTTGGTTTTTATTCACAGTAGTGTTAAAGTATGACTTATTCAGAATGTTTATAGAAGGAGCAAAGCATGACTGTATCAAATTGTCTTGAATTTTTTTTGTCATTTCAGTCCTCAGATGTGAATAGAATAATTGATTTTTTTCTTTTTTTTTTTTTTTTTTTTTCCTGTTCCAGTAACTCAGCCTGTAAGTGTCACTTCCCTATAACACCCAACTGTCAGAATATAGCTCAGTGAATGGAGGTGATGATATATGAGAACACATTCTTGGTGTGGAAGGTGTGGGGAAGAGATAACAGTTAAGTCCATGAATTCAATTCCAAATTTAATTTCTTATTTATGCTATATGCTATTCTTGTCTCAACATTAAGTTGGGTACAATTGACTTCAATACAATTTCACTAGTATCCCTCAGTATGAAGAGCAAATGCACATACTTCTTTGGACCATTTCTTTTCAAAGACTTATTTACCAATCAGAAAGATGCTTACATTTAGGCAATTATACTCTCTATTGCTTTTTTGTTGGTGCTTGTACCACAAGTAAGCTGTGTGAGTGTCTTTGAGGTGGGTTCTTTTGAAGTTTTCTTTGTCTATTTCACATCTATGAAAACTCAGAATATTGTAATAGAACAAAAAATGATTCCTTTTTAATTGCATCTGAGTAATGAATCATGATGATGGTGACTGTGCTGTGCACATCCAGCTATAGAGAGCTGCAGTGGCAGCCCCTTAAGTGACACATCCAAGTGTCCTGCTCCCTAGCTCTTGTCCAGTGCTATCATTTACCTTGTTCTTGGCTGCTGTGCAAACACATCCAATGAATTCTCTGAACAGCATAGGAAAGGAATGGCTGAGACCAAATCTAAATGGGAGGGCTGGAAGCCTTTGCTTTTAGTTCTGTAGCCACTAGATCAGGATACTTGACAGTTGTGAGTGTGTGTGTGTGTATTCCTGACGTTTGACAGAGGCATGCTCAGCAGTGGAGGCAGACTTGTCAGTCACTCAGTGTTGCTGTACCTGTGGTCAGTTGTGCAAAAGCTCCTTGAGTTACTTTGTGATGACACACGTGTTACAGAAACTGGGGATCTGTGTTTTGAATTCATTGTGAGCTGTTATTAAATGAATGTAAAAATGCTCTGAACAATTACAAAGTGTGTGCTGATCGTTCACTTTGCTCATTTTTCAAATTCAGCTTTTAATGCTACTCTTTTCATTCTGAAACTTTTTCTAATGTTGACTGTAAAACAGAGGTTAAAGAGAGTCACAGAATATTATTAAATTGTGAAATCCAAAATCATTTTTAGACTTGTGGCAGAAGGAACCTTTCTTCAGGTATGACCTGGCTGTGCCTAAGGTATTAAATACACACCAACAGAGAGAGGAAAGATCTCCTTGTTCAATATAAATGTAATAATGCTTTATACTCTGCTGATTATCTGCCTTTGCTTGAGTAACTGCAGGAGCTTGCAAATACCAAGGATTTGGCAGAGACCAAAACTGCAAATCCTTTGCAACGGCACTGCACTCAGATTAAGATCCTGTGAAATCTTTCCTCAGCCACTAATTTCGCACTCTAGAGATGGAACTGTGAACAGTTTATAACGTATAAATCTTGTTTTAATAACAGCTTTCTTGGGCTTTACTATATTTTGAGAGGAATTGTTTTTTTGTGTGTGTGAGAAAACAGTACGTATTTGTAGTAAATATTGTAACTTGTTAAATATTTCATTTCTTAACTGTAATGTCTGTGACATTTTAGAGAGTGCTGGGTGAGTGAGTCCCAGTATGCAGTGCCATTGCAAACTCTTTTTACTCTGGCTTTTATGAGCAGAAAAAACAAAGCAACTTATTAACATATGCTTTATATTATTTGGAAAATAAAACTTGATTTTTGCGATGACATTCATCAGGAGAAGAATTAAAAGTGAGTCAGTCATTTTGTGAAAGCTAAAAGGTAAAGATGTTGAAAATGGAAAATTGGTATTTGTCATGCAAGTTTCTTTATTGTTTTGTTTGCAAGGAGTGTTCTCAGCATAATGAATCCCAGAAAACAGGTAAGCACTGTTTTAGTCAGCCTGCAGTTGTAATGGGAAATGAAAGGAATGGAAGCAGGCTGTTTAATTCTGCAAGGGTGTGGTAGAACTCAGTCTTGATATTTTTCTTCCTTGACAGTGTGGTATAGTTTGGGATAGGAAAAAATCTTCCTGGAACACTGGGGTTGAAAAAAAAAGATTTGAGAAACCCAATGAGCTCCGTTTGGGTTGTTACATAAAGATCAACTGATATATCTTTGCAGTTTTGTTTGAAAGTGCTCCAATATTCATCAGGCACAGATAAAATCCAAGTTTTGCACAGTCTGTGTTTCTGTAAGTTTAAATCTTTGAGACTGTGTGCAGAGAATCACAGTATTGTTGGTTTTCTAATGAATGTACATATTTTATAAATCTACAAATATGTTTTTGGGAGAACTTTAAGAACAGCTCATGGGGAAACTAGATTTGTGTTTGTGTTTGGTAAACAAAGGTAACAGATTTCATGCTTCCATCCTAAAAACATAGCAGCATATTCTTTGTAATGTCAGTAGAATGTTCTGTCAGATGTCCAGTGTTGACCTTGACCTCAGTGGAAAATCCTGTTGTAAAAATCTGGTTTCTTCCTGCACTTGTAATATAAAGCAAGCAAATGCAGAACTGAGCATTTGTGTTGTGTGCTGGTTGCTGTATGGTCTGGTGGAGTAGTTTTATTGGTGTCTCTGTGTTGTACCTCCTGCTACCAGGGGTGGAGGTTTAATTTTGTGGAATACTTTGTGTGATTGTATTTTTTATTTTAATACTGTCTTCAGTATACAAGAACAGATATATGGTTTTCATTATATGCTCATTGCTGAGTTGATCACTTAGAGGCAAATAAATAAATAAATAAAAATAATTACATTAACTATATAAAGATTGCCTTACTGCGTTTTCTTTGTATTAATAAGGAATTTGAAATACACTCAGTAAATTTAGAAATGCACTTCAGATGTTTGTCTCCTTGCATAACCTGTGCCTGTGTATGTTTGGTTACAGAACAAAGGTGAAGCAGATAGAGAAATAGCAGTAAGCAACATCATGTGTTGTCGTAGAAGTGGAATGTCCAGGCTGGATGTGGCTCTGGGCAGCCTGGTCTGATGGTTGGAGACCCTGTCCCAATGCAGGGGGGCTGAAACTGGGTGATCATTGTGGTCTTTTTCAACCCAGGCCATTCTGTGATTCTATGAATTTCTTGACGCAGCTCTTTGGCAGAGGTGGTGATTGTGCATACTAAACTACTCATCATGCATGGGACCTCATAGAAAAGATGTGAGGATTATAAATGTATCTATTATTTGTTTGGTCATATTGCCACTGAATTGCCTCCTAAAAAAAAAAAAAAAAAAAAAAAAAATGCAGCGTAATGTAAATGTGCAATGTATGACAGGTACTATAGCTTAAAACGCCCCAGATGTGGATAAGCATTAAAGACAATTATTTGTTTCTTCATACCTTCCCAATGTTTGGCACAGCTGAGACTATGAAAATCTGAATGGACTATAATTCAAATTTAAGGTACTTAATTAACGGCATAAAAAAGTAAGAGATCTAGTCTCAGGGAAAGCTTCTTAGTGTTCCTTCTGACTATTCTTGTAGTGCTATAGAAATTGTTTTAAAATCAGCAGCACTCATTTATGGTTGTTGAACAAAATATGGAGTGCATTCTGACTTCTTGCGCCATGAAGTTCTCCACACAACAATTCTAGAGTTGCTGCAGATAGCGTGCACTCACTGATGCATGGGATGAAGACAGGAGGAAATGTAGTTTATGCAGATGTCTCTGCTGACACAGCTAATTGATTGTAACTGAATAGTGCTCTGCTCTTCTAGCGTTGTGACCTGTATAGCCTAACACAGCACAGAGTCAGTTGTGCAAGTTCTTACCAAGCTTGGAAGGAGAATAGAAGATGCACTGAATGCAGTGTAGGGTGCAGAGCAAGGGTGCTGTGAGCTCTTTGGTTTGTTATGGCTGGAGATTGGTTGTTCCTGATGGAGGGGATCAAACTGAGCCGTCCTGTCATCTGTAGCTGGAAAGCAGTTGCCCAAGGTGGTGCTGGCTATTTAGGTTTCAGTGGGAACGTTTTGACTAGGGTTACCTGAAGGCTGCTGGTTATTGTTTGTCCTTGTTTGAACTTCTGCGCTGCTTACTTGAGAGCTCTTGTTCTGTTTTGCTAGAATATCTTTGACTTTTGCTGGGTTTGGTGAGAACCTGTTCTGTCTGGAACTTTGCTGTTGTTCAGCTAATTTATCCATTGAATGCTTTTTATCCTGTGACTACAAGAAAAGCGTGATAGCAGAAAGCTGTTGGCAAGGATAAGAGATTGCTCTTCTTTCTGATATTCACATAGAAGAGATGTGATGATTTGCAAGAAGCCTTATGCAGGAGCGGAATATCTCATATCTCTCTTATAGATTGTCCTTACTGATTCAGATGTATTGCCATAGATGGTGCTCTCTTACTTTGTATTTAATGAAAAGTTTTTTTTTTACTGGAGAGAACTAAAATAATAATTTTTAGAAAGCTGTAAGTGATGTATTTTGCTTGGTATTGGGATTGTTGAAGCTTCAGTCCTTCATTTTTGTCTTTTTTTGCGTTTCTCTGTTCAGTTTCTTGCTACCACATACATTTTACATTTGAAAAGTAGCTGACTTTTATTTGCAGCTCCTTGCAGACTGTATTTCATCTCTTTCTGTAATACTAGAAATTCCTAGTGATCCCCAAGATGTTTACCAGAATGTGGTTGATAGTGCAATACGTGACTGTCTTTTCCATCAGGAAAGGTTTTAAAAGGATTGTTTTCTTACAGTGTTCCATTTCCTAGGCTGTGGGTAAAATAGCTCTGTAAAGAAATTACCAGGTTGTGGGGAGCTTTGTGCTGGCTCTTTGTTTTAATAGAAGCACCTTTCCATTTTGGACTGAGACCTTCCAATAGTAAACTAACAACAAACACACTGTTCTATACAGAACGCCTCTACTTGGTCTGTTATGTAGGTTGCTCTGAAAGTAATGCCTCCTGTTTATTTCCATGGAAACAGCACAACTATATAGAGTGTTGCTCTCATTTCAGTAGGCACAGAGTTGATATTTCTTTCATAGGGTCTGATATGATGCTGTGTTTTGGCTTCAGGAGGAAAGACAGAGATGATAACATTCCAGTGTTTTCACTCGT